AATTTTGTCATTCTTTTCCTTCTTTGCCATGTCTCTGTCACAATTTAGACAGAATTGTGTCCAATGTTGCTATTTCATATTCTATATGTTACTATTTCAAGGCAATGTTGTCTATCAGACTGGGCCTCGTTAGTACACTTTGGTTGTTTAATTAAGAAATGATTCTAACTTGTTCTTTCTGTGATTGTAGATCTCAATAAAAATGTCCTCAAGGAACATACCAGATCATTTGCTTCAGTATTTACCGAGGCTCAGAAGAAAATGAAAAAGGTGAGGAATAGTATATATGATAAAAATATCTCTAGTGTATAAAATATATGATAAAAGAGCCTCTAAACATCATAACCATCTGGGCACTAGGCTATTCTGTGGCATACCCCTAAAGCTTTGTAGCACCCTCATTCCTCCCAAAAAAAAGAGAACTAGACATCAACTAGCTAATACATACTTATATGGGAATAATGGCAACAGGACGCTCCGATGAACGAACCAATTCCGGTAGTGTGTGTGTGTGTGTGTGTGTGTGTGTGTGTAAAAGTTATGTATAGATTTTTTCTGGAATAACCCATTTTATTTCATGATTTTGTCACAATCATTAATTACTGATGACTGTTTTTCATTGTAGACATTTGGTTATGAACTTGTTGAAGCAGAACAAAATAAACAAAAATTTTATATTCTTCTCAACAAGATGCAAGAAGAGGCAAAAGAAGTTGTTTGCAGTAATCCAGATGACCAACCCAGGCTGGGCCTTTTGTTGGTTATTTTGGCAATAATATTTATGAAAGACAATGTTTTGCCTGAGGGTACTGAATTATGTATTAATATTTTCATTCACTCTCTTCATCCTGATACAAATTTGTTGAATTTTGTTTTATTTTAGGAATGCTATGGGACACATTAAAAAGACTTGGAGTGATTAAGGGGTAAATATTTCTTCGCCAAATATATGATATGATTGCAAGGATTTTTATCACTTGACTGAATGAAATTGTTTAAGAATGTTTGGTAAAATTTAGTGGCAAAATTATCACCAAAATCTGCTTGAGCATACTGGTACTTGGCAGAAAATCTTTAACAAAATATCCTCACAGAGAATTTTCATAGATCCTGCGGGAAATTTTTGTTGTCTTATGTACTGGAATGCCACTTATTGTTTAAAATTTCCAAAAGCATTTTGCAATTTGAGATTGTCTTGTACATTTATAGAGAGGTCCATGATATATTCGGTGATGTGGATAAATTGATTACAGTGGAATATGTGAAACAAATGTGAGTGATAGCCTGCACAACGTAACTCTACATGCATCCGATTTGCTACAGTATATGTGACTCAATAAAACCTTTGAAATTTGGTAATTTGCAGGTATTTAGATCGTAAAAAGGTTGTGACAGGTGACACAGCAACTTATGAATACAGATGGGGCGTGAGAGCACAACAGGAAATAACCAAAAGACAAGCACTAGAGTTTGTTGCTCAGGTGAGAATGTTGGTCGAACTGAAACTGTCAACAATGGGTGATTCCAGTATTAGACTAAATTTCGATCAAGGCAAGAAGAACGAACTCCAACACCACAGCTAGAGAGAGCGTCTTAGAATGAGTAGAACTGCAAAGATTGGTTGCTAAATGTTGTGAAATGACGAAAATATAGCCCTGTGAAGTTCGCAAATTTTGTATATATTTGTATTACTTGCGGTAAAAATAACCACTTTGGGCTAAATAATGTTATTTTTCCCCCGCGTAATGCAAATATACACAAAATTTGCAAACTTCACAGGGCTATATTTTCCTTATTTTACAACAATTCCAACCAAACTTTGCAATTTCACCCATATTAAGATGCTGTTTCCAGTTATGGTAATGGTTTCCGTTCTTCTTGTCTAGATCAAAATTTCATCTATAGTCATCCATTCACAAGCATGTCATTTGTCACTAGTTTATCTCATTTTGTCCCTATTTTGTTTTTGTAAATAAAACTTTTCACATAAAATTAAAAAATTTAAAAATTTTTGATAAGAAAAATTGGGATGCCCCCCCCCTCCCCCATTCTCCCCCGTTTGCAAGGCTAGGAGGTGTGCACACCCCCATGCATCATCCCATTCTTGTGTAAACCTGATATCAATGTTAAACATTTTCCAGGTGTATGGCACAGAGGTGCAGGCGTGGACTGCGAAATTCAAGGAAGTGGTTGAAGAGGAAGAAGGAGACTCAGGCAGTGATTGAACCTGCAGTAAGGTGGAATTTAATTAGAAACCTGAAACACAAGGTAACATGAGGTACTGAGTGTCCTTAGGGAAAGTTGTGAGCAGGTCTATGTTTAAATTCTTTTATTAGTTAAACTGTTAGTATGTTCTGTTGATCTGCCTTCAGATGGGACTGGGTATCACTAAGCACTATTGTACAGCAACCTGCGGTTATCAGAGTCAGACAATGTTTTTTATTATATATTTTGAAGCAAATAAATAAAGATGTATGCCCTGCTCAAATGAGAATGAGATTTGATGAGGGACTAAAGGTTGAGAAGCGAGAGTTTGCGTTTCAACTCTCATGCCCTGGTCAAACGAGAAATTGCACGAGAGTTGATGAGAGTTGAGAAGCGAGAGTTCGGGTGAGAGTTTTCTCAACTCTCATGCCCCGATCAAACGAGAACGTGATTTGCGTGAGACTAGATGCTCTCATCTAGAGCGAGAGTTTGCATGAGACTAGAAGCGAGAGTTTGCATGAAAATTTGCATGAGAATTTGCATGAGAGAGTTTGCATGAGAATTTGCATGAGAGTTTGCATGAGACTAGAAGCGAGAGTTTGCATGAGAATTTTTTCAACTCCATGTCCCGGAGTTGAGTTGCCACACTGTAAATTTAAAGGAGTTGGTTCAACTCAATGTTATTCTTTCACCATTTTTTCTGACCGAATAACACTTAAATTGGAGTGGATTCAAGACATTGTCAGTCAAACGAGACAAACTCTCGTCAACTCTCATCAAAATTTGAGCTCAAATTCGACGAGAATTGGTGGTAAAACTCTCATCAACCTTCATCCTAGTTTCACAGAGGCTTTAGTTCATTTACTTGTTTCTGTAAGTGTCGCATTTCCGACATTCACTGGCACCATCTGCTAGCCTACAGCAGTTGCTTAACCCACCAATATTCACACAAGGAAAGATGGATGCTTTTCTGGACACAAACTATGCAGTATTCAATTTAGGGTCATGGACAAAACAAGTTATGTGAACTCATTAACAATGTTATACTATTATATCACCATTGACAAAATGTTATACTATTATGTAATTATGACTATATATGGTTATGAATACGCAAATGAACTGGTTTTCACTGTAAATTTCAGAGAGTTGAACCAATTCCAAAAGTGTTACCAAACACGGTGACAGAATATCAGTTTTGGAGTTGTTTCAAATCCTTGGAATTTACAGTGAGAATATACCAAATTTGTAATTGTAGACATATATATGTTTTATAAAGCTTTTTGTTCATTACTTTTGTTTGTCTGACGGATATCTGGAAACTTCAGATTCAAAGATATATAGACTTCTTAATAGTGTCTGGGTTCGGTTTCCTGGGTCTTAACCTTTGTGCTTCAATTTTGGATATACTACATACACCCATCCCATATTATGATATTGTTATTCCTCTGTAGTTCCTGTTTTGTCTATTTCGTTCATGAGTGTAGTTAGTATTCTACAATAAGCTGCCTTGTTTGTGTGTGAATTACCTAAAAAAGATCTCTCAAACGTAGCGGTGCAGTATAGGTAGTAATTGTACAGTGTCGATAAGGTGCTGTGTTTTGTGTTTGAACTACCTGAAAATAAAAAAATCGCAAACGTAATGGTCTAGTATACTGTAGATAGTATTCTACTATCAGTTGCCTTGTTTGTCTGAACTGCCTGAAAAATATATCTCAAATGTGTTGTTGGTCCAGTGCAGATAGTATTTACAATATAAGCTGCTGTGGTTTGTGTCTGAACTATCTGAAAAAGATATCTCAAAAGTAGTGGTCCAGTGTAGGTAGTTTTCTACAATAAGCTGCCGTGGTTTGTGTCTCAACTATGTGAAACAGCTACTATCTTTCTGCGGGCTTTAAGTCAAGCAACAACACCCACTATGTCTTGCAAAAGTCAACCAATTCCTCCCATCACTTGTATCGACTCTTCAGTTTATCTGGACGTTCCCAATTCTTGAGATACTTACTGTACAGTCGCGTGCTGTAGCATTTATCGAGCGTTGTAGGAACGGCCATATCAACAGGAAGCAACCAGCACTAAACATTGAACTTCAAAGACATAGCAAACATTGTTTTGCTGAAAACCATTTACAAAGAGGATAATTTAAAAAGAAGTTAAAATTTTTAACACTGCGTAATAATTTATATTTGGAGTTCCTTGTTTGGTCATATATAAGAATAAAGTCGACAGTTTACGGGCCTCATTGCATGTCGGTAGAGCAAGGACTTTTACCTTGGAGATCTTAGTTTCGATTCTCGCTGCGCCAACTCATTACACTTGATCTCGTGTGAAAAGAATCGTTCAACGCTCTATCGAAAGTCGTGGGGTTTTCTCTGGGTATTTTGAACGGGATTGTTGAGAGGAGGGGAGGGAGGGGGGGGGGGGTAAGTAACTCAAATTAAATAATTTGGCTTATTTTCTCAAAGGCCCGTTGAAACGGACCCAGCAATGTTAGACCAAACCATACACCATCCGTCCAACTTTCAAATAATGTTTTGTACTTTTTTATTTCCCGATATTTTAAAGCACAGATTTTTAACTTTCTAATAGTTTTATGATTTTATGCAAACGATTTGAGCAATAATTACCTAAATCAAATATTTCAACATTGCTGCATATTATTGATAATGGGCCTTAAAAAACAACTTAAATATGTAATCCGGCCAATTATTTCGTATTTACAGCGAAGAAACGGATGATGAACCTTTTGATTAACTATATGCATGGTATCCTTAACTCGTTGATCTCCATTAGCCGTAACGGAACGCGTTTTCTAGAATAGAATTAATTGAAATAACGTTTAAACTTGGCCTTTAATATAGACTACAGCCAAACTTGAATTTTAAAGAGTTCTTTAAATGATGTGTCTCAGAGCGCTCTCAAGGCCACTAAACGTGTGCATTTTTGGGGTTTTTTGGGTGAAAAAATCTTTGTTTTGCTTTGCTTTAATCGAGTGTTCTTAATGTTGAACGTGGTTTCTCATTAGATTATCGGCCGTATTCTAAAAGCTCACTCACACCCAAAGAGTGGAGGTTTAATCTGAGCTTCCCTTGAGTGTCAGTGCTGTTTTTGAATAGCTGGAGGGTTAGTTTCGTACCTTCTTACTACGTGACTACTCACCCTCCAGCTATTCAAAAACAGCACTGACACTCAAGGGAAGCTCAGATTGAACCTCCACTCTTTGAGTGTGAGTGTGAGTGAGCTTTTAGAATATGGGCGTACGTCTTCCTGTGAGGAAAGTTGAGTTTTATCCAGAACCAAAGAGCTGGGACGGGGGGGGGGGTAGGCGGGCCATGCCCCCCTTTTTCGCCGAGTTAAAGAAAAAAGGTGATTCATATATACATGAGGGTGTATCAAAAAAAGCGCAATCCTCGACTGAAATGTAAATTGCTAAACAAATAATAGACGAAAACGTTAAAGTTTACATTCATTTTAAAGCGTAGCCATTCAGCTTTCTAACAGTGGTTTGTTTCTTAAATTTGACTCATTGGTTCGCGGCTAATAATACTTTACGTTATTGCGATTGGAGATTAAAAAAATTGAGATGGAATAACAAATCGTTCTCATGAAAATAACTGATTTTTTCATTAAAACCAAAAAATGTTGCATTTTATTAAATGGATTGTAACAATAAGTATAATTACGGCTTTTCTTCCACTATTTTTAACTCAGTTTTAAACTTCAAATGCGATATAATTTTGGCTTGGACCATCTAAGCTGACTGACATCAACTTGCTATAATTTCTGTTTACATTACATCGCAATTCGATGACACTCTGGCTCAGACACCAGAATGTTTTGACGAATTTTAGCATTCGTTTAGGATTTTCAAACAACCTGATCTCTTTTAAAATACTTTTAATTTGTTCTTACGTGGTTTTCCAGATGTAGTGACGACAACATTGAAGTTTAAAGAAGAAAATTCTAACATTTAAACCGACTAAACAATAACATAGTAAACTTGCATAATTAAACAGCAACTAAAAATGATAGGTTTACTAAATCTTTTCCTGTGCAATTATTACTAGCATTGGAGACAAGGATAATAGTTTGTTTGAAAGAGAAAAGAACAGGCTTTGAAGTAAGCCTAAAAGCGTTTAACTAGAAATAGTATTTCGAAAGTTATTAAGCACAAAAGATGAATTGCGTTTATTTTGATACACCCTGTATATCGTTAAAATAATCTGACCGTAAATCCGCAATTGGCTTAATTCACTCGCGTGTCCCCCCTCTCACCATGCAGTACCACTGCAATACCAAACCACCATCCCCTACAATACTCTACCATACATAACTGTACCCTATTGTATCACTTTGTCCGCCTTGCTCCGTTTTAGAAAATATTTCATAAACCTTCTTTCTGTGTTTTAGGAATCTCGATATACATCGTGCCGCAGAAACAGACAAAAAATTTTTTTTTCTGTATTGGTGTTATGTACTCAGGTGAACATGTTTGTGATGTTATTCTGAGTGTATGTCCACACCGGGCAAGCTTGCAAAATATGCCTGGCCACGGTGGGAATCGAACCTACGACCTTTGGAATACTAGCCCAAGTACTTAAATTTGTTCATACTCAAATTTATGAACAAATTTATTCATTACCGAAAGTTAAAATGATTTAACTTTCGGCAACGATTGCCTGAAAATATTAAATTACAACTGATTGCATTTCGTCAGCCAGCCAATAAAAATCGCTTTACTTGACAAATGGACTGGCATGTGAAAAATATATTTGGATCGCATCACACAGTAAACAAACTATTAAACTTGTGTCTAGAATTACGAGCGGTAAATCTTGTCAACTGAAATCATGAATTTGTATTTTGTAAAACTCTGGCTTTGCACTTGTCTCATCAGAGTAGAAAATCATTACACGAATTGCAATTTTTCTTGCGCCGGCAACGCGATCAAAGTTGACCCATTGCGTTGCCCGCCCGAGTAACCGTAGCTTAAAGGAAGTTAACAATACTATACATACCGACCTGACCGCGTAGCTCAGAGTGTGGATATACACTCAGAGTAACATCACAAACATCATATTATTCCTCCATGGTTTGTGGGAGGAAGGGTTGAGCCCGTGAAACCACCAAAGTGGACGTCGGTTCTCAGGCTCTTGGTTTCCTGGAGAGGTTGTGGCTTCCTACACGCCGCCTGACCAATTAAGATTGGTTGATTGCCAATGGCGGAAACCTTCCACTTTTCTTTGAGATCGGAATTGAAAGTTCTCGAACAAATCCGTTCACATAGTCATAGAAACCGTTTTTGATTGAAGTGCAATATTTTTGAGAGTCTTATAATATACCTATACGTTAAACTGTTTTGCAAATTGTGAGGATCTTTGTGTAAATTAGCAGTTTATATATGATGGCTCTTGGCCATTCCAGCGTCATTAAAACACTTTTAACTGCTGAAACGACATAGCATTTAAGGTATGAGATTTCCCCAAGCTTAAATTGAACTATTTCGCAGTTAACTCGAGAGAAAAACGACAAAAGTCAAGGGTGTTTAGAGAATTAATTCTGTGTTGATCGTTTTTCTTTTTGCTTATATATTCCAGAGACGAAAGGCATATTTGGATTGGTATATAATATTACTTTCAGCAAAACCGTAAGTTATCTTTGAACATTGTTAAAACTGGGGTAATGGCTTGTTTATAAGGGGTATAAATTATACTCTAAGTATATAGAGTTTTTGTGCCAAAAACGTAATTTGTATGACTATAATATATATACAGTAAAATTGTCAATTGCATTCGAAAACATGCGCTGTTTTGCTCGTAATAGAAATATTATAAACCTCTTATAAAGTGGATTGAAAACAAACCAGCGTCATTTAATTGTATCGCTATACAACACTGGACTTGGTAATTTGATATACAGTGCAAAACGGTCCATTGTGATCTGGAAAAGACAACTACATGTTTCTTCTCGTAATAGAAAATAATGTTTAGAGGATGTTAAATTACAGTGTTTACATAGAAAGCGAACCCCAATGTGTATCACAATATATAAGCCAATGATATTGGTATAGTCTGGTGTAAAGAGCAAGAATGCCCATTAGGCTCGAAAAAATAAAGATAAAAAGATGCATGGCGTCTCAAAAGTTGAGGATTCGGTAGCGACAGTAATTTTAAATTGTGAAAAAAATTTTTGACAACAAAAAAGACTTTTGACAAGCAAAGACTATACAAGACGAGAGAGTCTTTCAATGTGTAATCTTGTCCAAAATATTTAATAACAAATTTTTTCTTAGCCTCTCAGACTTTTTATTACGAGACGCGGGTGGAAAGTTTAACGCAAGATGTTTTTAGACAATATATGAAGTAGTTTTTAACTTGCTGATGGAGTAAACTCCGAAACGTCTTTTTAATAAATGTTACGCCTTATTATTGGTCTTTAATAACGCGACAAGCCGACAAAGTCTTGAAACTGTATATATATGGTTGTATCACAATGTGAGTTTTTTTTCGGAATTTGTAATTTCTTTCTATGTGGTTCGTTAAAATAGGAGCACAACCAACCTCGTGGATGAATTGTCGAACAGTCCTTTTTGCTGAGGTTCAATCCTTCATTGTTTATCACACAGAAATTACAATACTCAATATAAATAAGTCTATTTAGGGTGTGAATGTCGACAGCTCAAATATCATCCTATAACTTATAAAGAGAGGCATTCCATATTGCGCAGTCGATATACTCTTGAAAGTTGAGAGTTTCCTTCTCGTGACTTTTGAAAAGATGGGAACTTTTTAACAAAATCCATGCTGTTTGCTAACGATATAGCTTGAACGAGAGAGTTAAGAGGCCATTCAAAAATGCGTCATTAAATTTTGGACTTTCAGTTAAATTCCTCTATCCTTCATTCTATACTCTTTCTTAATAAGAAGCCAAAGAATAAGGAGGATTCTTTATATATGTCCTTGCATGACCTTTTTAACTAAGCTTGAACATCAGTGACTATATGGCTTGAACCACTTAGCCATTTACTAACACTACATCATCTGTTGTCTCGAGCGTGGGATTCGAATTTCGTTGTACTTTGCAGAGTGAGAATAATATGGAACTAGTTTCTCATATCTCTGAGAATGATTCTGAATTTGTTCTCCTTTATTGATGACATAATCTTCGCCAATAATCCCCTCTTCTTTCTGTAATCAACTGTCATCCGATCGGGTACTCCCCTAATCATCGATGTCGTAATTATTGATACAAAGCCAGCATGATACAAAGCATGCTTGTTTCAGAGCATTTTTTATATGCCACGAATCGCAACGTATTTCAGTTTCAAAATGTCTGTGGGCCGTGGGAAAAAGCTTAAACGGAAGATGTGGCTTTCGTGTTTTTTTTGCCAATTCACACGTTATGTAGAAATTTCAGATTCAATTTCCTTTATTAGTTGGCGGATGTAAATTAGGGAACATGTGCACTGTATGCAAGAATGAGTAAAATGTTGAGGGTGTAGTAGAGACAAGTGCCTTTCGATTTTTGGTATGTTCACACGCGGTCGGGTTTTCGGATTCAATTCTTTGAGGATGGAAATGAATGAACTTGCTCATTGAGTGGATGAGAAACACATGCAAGTCACGTGCACGAAGCGTGGTTTCCTTTTGGTTGTGCGCGACCATGCACGATACACACATAAAAAGGCACAAGTTGCAAACAAGTTGTTACAAATCTGTTCACAAGCTGTCGACAAGTTGTGTTCGCACTGCTTGTTTCCAGTTGTTGTAACAAGTTTGGAACAACTTGTAAACAAGCTTGGTGGAATTATCAGACTTGTTACAAGATTGTTCTAACAAATCTGATATACAATCATGATATAACAAGAACGAAAAAAGGTTGACGGCACAAGGTTGAAACAATATTGTTATATCATGACTGTATATCGGACATGTTGGAACAATCTTGCACTACAATAATAATAATAGACAATAATAGACGGTATATTTAAAATACAATCGCACTAATACAAGTAATAGTGAATTATAGTATTTTTACAAGCATAAAATTATGAAGACTACTGTTACTTTTTAAAACTAGGAATTGGAGATATATAAAAATGGAAATTTAGATTGTAAACCTAATTGACAACGGTCATGACTTGTTCATAGTACGTGAGCACATAGCTGGGAAGAAACTGTTCTTAAATCTGTCCGTCCTACACTTAAATAGGCTAAGATTACTAGAGTGGCGCAGTTCTCTGCCATGCGACTCAATCCGGGTCGGAGGTAAAATGCGGTTAAGGCGTGATGATGGTATTGTTATTTTATCCAAAACCTTCTTACAAAGAGTATCACGACGATCGGATAGACGGGGAAGAGAGGAGGTAGCAAGCGCGGTTGAATAGGACACTACAAGTCTGATAATATCAACAAGTCTGTTACAAGTTGTTAACAGTGTGTTCCAAATTTGTTGACAATTTGGGACAAACAGTGCGAACACAACTTGTTGACAGACTTGCTACAAGATGTGAGATTTTTGTTTCCTTGTACCTGAAAACTAGCAAAACTTCGACGTTTCGAGCATAGGCCCTTCGCTCTTCGCACTGCTTGTCCCAAGTTGTCAACAAGTTTGGAACAAACTGTTAACAACTTATAACAGCCTTGTTGATATCAGACTTGTCGCAAAGTTGTTCCAACAAGTCCGATACAGTCATGATATACAATATTGTTACGACCTTGTGTCGTCAACCTTCTAACATTCTTGTCATATCATGACTGTATCGGACTTGTTAGAACAACTTTGCTACAAGTCTGCATGATAATGCGATCAAGCTTGTTACAAGTTGTTAACAGCTTGTTTCAAACTTGTTACAACAACTGGGAATAAGCAGTGCGAACACAACTTGTCGACACCTTGTGATGACAGATTTGTAACAACTTGCTTGCAGACCTGTAACAACTTGTGCGTTTTTACGTGTGTAGTTGAGAACCTCAATCCTCAGCTTTCTGGTGTTATTGTCAATACCCACGCTGGCATAGATCGTTCGAGTTTAGATCCATTAACCACTATGCGACCAGCACCCAAAATACATTTAAAACTTGTGTTAGATATTTCTATGGATTTCGTGACAAACATATAATTACACAGAGAAATTAACCATGACCGGGCGCACCTTTTAAAATTACAAAAAAATCGCAACCACTCATTTCTAAATACGGCAAGACTATCGAAAGTACAAAAGCAATTATGGGTAATCTTATTTGAATAACAATTGGAAATCACAATGCGTACCTCCGCGTATATTGTATACTTAGAATTCCTCTGCCACAATTCCTCTTTTTCAGACAGCTAATGCAAATTATGCGGTGTTAAACCAGATAAAACATGAAAAAGCTACAACACAGTTTCTATAGATCTTTCCAGAAACAAAAAATTTCTTCATTGCTGTACACAAACTATAATAGTTCAAAGTTCCCTTGCATATAGGTCTATCACTTTTTAATTTAACTGCATACTCTTCTTAGAGGTTCAGTTATTTGGGTCATTCAATATATATCTCTATACATTGTTTTTCCAAAAAATGTTCCACATTTTCATACAGTTAATTGAATTTTGACACAGTTAATTGAATTTTGACACTAAGGTTATAACATTTGTCTAATAGTACCAATTGTTATGTCTGTTTTAACATAAATTCTGATTCAAGAATACCCAAAGGAATTCTCTTCGGTTCAATTGCTGCAAAATGCAACTTTTTTTATGAAAATTTTCCTCAATCACATGTATAAGAAGAGTGATTCAAGTATGTGTGACACTACCAAACACCTTATAAGGATTGCTCTTACTGTGCCAATAAGTAAGTAAGTGGGGTGCACTGGTCATCCTTGCTTGCGGCTGAGAGCTAAGCTGAATTACGAAGAACGAAGCTCAACCTGATCGAGTCAAAGGCTTTCTAAGGGCGCTTCAGGCAGCCACCTTATGACTCATATCTGATCACGGAGCATACGGTGGAAGGGTCAATTAGGGGGCTAATTCCAACCCACCCTGTCAACTTTCCCTGTGGGAGGAAACCGGAGAAAACTCACGACTTTCGGTAGAGCGTTGACTGATTCTTTTCACATAAGGTCATGCGTGCGTCCCGCGTCCGTAGCTAGAATCGAAGCCCTATATACAATTAATGTATAGTATATATACGTCTATAGTTTCTGGACCGCTTTGGGAAGAACATTTTGAACTTGATAGAGCTATCCAATAGATATAAAGTTTGTTTTTTGACTGAAACTAACTTTGTTCGCGTGTCCAAAGCTACGTTATATATATGCTTCACATCCTAAATGGTCTATTTGAGGAAGCAACATTTGAGCTTTATTGACATAACAGTGTTGCCCGGCGCTGCTAAATGAAGAGAGTCGGTAATTACCTGAAACACTTGTGGCTATGTAAATATTTATATAGCTGGCAAATTTATCTCTTAAAATAGGGGTATTTTGTGGTTCAAAAGTATTATCAAATTTTCAAGAATTTTCCATGGATTCTTGTAATTTTAGAATTAATTGGCTTCATTTTTGATACGGTTTATCTAGTTTGTACTGAGATCAGTTTCATATATACCCTATCAAAAAGCGGAGTCTGTTCCCTCGAGCATTGAAATCTTAGAAATCTTTCAAAACTCCTACTGTTTCATAAGGGTCACAGGACAAGACAATGATTAAATTCAGCAAATGCAGTTTCTATAGTTCGAGGCCTTTTGCACATCGTAAGATCACGCATGGAGTCTAGAGGTGTCCTGAATTGGCTTGAGTGCAATATAATATATTGTTGATAAGTAGTTTTTATGTGCCAGCCAGCAAATTTTCATTATTTTTCCCAGAAAAACCAGGAAATAAGTTCAGACTCCATGCAAAATATATATTGTGGTTTTGGTTTCGACTCCTTGTCAATCTTATGCTTGTCAATATATCTAGTTTCATATTGTACAGTCTATGAGACGAGCACGCCTAAAACTGACAGTGCCAATTATTGTTTATTTTTACAACTCACTTCCTCTCTCTTTGTATCGCATAATATCTTTTGTAAACCATTCCTTTTTTGGAACTGAAGAGCTTAAGGAAGAGTTTTATATCATTTTCACCCCACACCCTGTCTGGGAAACGTGTGAAGCAAAGTTCATTGGAGTGGGAATTAAGTCTATTTATATTTTATAAAATTCTAAGATTCTAAAAAAAAAGACAAAACTTCTATCCGGTATATCTTTGGTTTTCAAGCCTGTTTTTACCCGAGCCCTACGAAGACAAAGCATTAACAATTTTATTTGTTTTGTTAAAATATATTCCTACAAGTTTGCCCATCAGGGCACACGAACACAAATATGTGTTTAGGCTTGATTACACAATCAAGATCCTATGCTCACAGCAGGAATTTTGCATAGGTAAATTCTAAGTTTTGAAGGATTTGTAAAAAATGGGCAGTTCCCTCAACTGATTTCTTACAAATCTCGATCAAAACTCAGAATTTACCCACACAAAATTCCTACTGTGATCACATAAACTTTGCCGTAGTGGGCTCCCCCCCACCCCCGTACTACTGCATGTTAGCCAGACTTTTTACGTCAAATAGTTTGTTTCATGCCCGACTGCTTTTTGTTCTATTTTTGTTCTATTTTTGTCCTTTTTTCTACGTACATCTTGTATTCTGAAAGTGGTCTTTACAAAGAGTAAACATTGGTTACAATTACCAATTACTAAATCTGAGTCAACATTCTCTGACATTACCAAGCGAAATGTTTTAAAAAGGCTCCACAATATTCAGAAATCCCATGATGCATCATCATCATGATGTTGGACCAATAATGCTTAGAACGACTCTTTAAGCGTTACTTAATTTCTCTAGACTCTGGAGCTGATATATATTTACATAGACAAGAGTCTCGAGAGATTGGTTTGACCCATAGGAGTAGGACATCCTATATATAGATTTAGTATCGTGAAAACCATCCTTGGTAAAGATTGCTTTGACAACCAAGTTTCTATTTCAAAGATCGAAATCGCTGCTAATCATGTTTAGTGGTGCAATATTCTACAAATGTCCATTCATTTCCATGAGGATAACTTTGTACCTTTGAATATGCGGTGATGTTTATTATATTTACATATTGTTCCTCCTATCACCCACACACTGTTTCCGTTTCCGCTTCTGAGCATGCACCCTATATAGTGTCTAACATCAATCTTTCATTTCTTGCAGATAACCCTTGAGAAACGCACACGAAAAGAGAAAAAGAAGAATCTCTAACTTAGACCTACTTTTACACTACAAACACATTGATCTGACCGTGTGGGTCATCTGAATCATGAGATACCAAGATTGGTGGATCCTAGCAATTTGGTATGTTTTGCTACTAATTGCCGAAATAAGTTCCTCAGGCCCAAGGGAGCTCTCGTTGAGAGATAAATTTCCGAACAAAGACGAAACAGAAACTTGTGGCACAATTCGGGATGTAATTCAACGCGATTCTGGACGATTTCGACGGATTTTGATCCGAAATACCAACGATCAAGTTGATTATAATAATGAAGATGCTAGGCGAATGACATCGAGGACAAAAAGTAAATTGGATGTATTAGCTTCGCTGGTTATCAGCGAGTGGAGAAATAATAAAGTTCGTGTGATCCAAGCGTGGACAGATCAGGTTGTGGCGTCTGATCCGACTTCATTGCATTACGAAGGTACGCCTTTATACATTTTATAAATATCTTGTTTGTTTTGTTCCAAATATTTAAGGCTCCTAAGAGATGCAACTACCTGAAAATAGTTATCGAGCGAAGGCCTACGGCTACAGCTTGAAACCGCCGGAACTGTTTTCTGTATCTTTCTGATAGTTGCATTCTTCCACCAAGAAGGAACGATCTTATACAAACAACGCAATGCATGATTGCGCAAATCGTCATTATTGACTCTATATTACGTTACCACGTTAATAGCATCTTATAATGTGTACACTAGCTTATCGCTTGTATAGATACTGGGTTATTTTGCAATTATTGACCGATATATTGCAATTATATTTCCCATATCCTCCCAGGTTGATGAAAATTTCGCTTTTGTGTAAACTGAAATTTTGTTTAGTCATGTGCCCCATGGAGGCAAGTTTTGTGTTTTCAAATGCTTTGTTGTTGGATTGCTAGATATTTCTATATAGTTAATGTATTATTTTTATCATTAGTATCTTATTACCTCCGGGACATAATATTGTGCATAACGACGGTAATAATTTGTTGCGCCAAGGAAATATTATTTTCCGGTATGTTTGTATTTGGTTACATATGGCAATTCTACACTGTTGATAGTGAAAAATGTAGATGCTTTGTGTCTGGTCGGGAACAAAAAGCTTTGAAGGGTGACCGAATTGCAAATTAAAAATATATTTATATATATATATATATAGATCTTAGTTAATTATTAATTAGCCTTCCTAAGAATGCATGCATGGCAATACGTGCATAAACATGCCAATAAAATGAATAACATGTGTACGTTTAGGCCGATTTCGGAAAAATGATACTGTGCAATACGACTGCACTATTTAGCCGCCAGCGCTGTTGTTTATAAAGACAATGTTAGCCATGGCGATTTTGACTGGACCTTTCAACGCAATTACTTCTGACCCCGCGCCAAGCGGTATAGAATTCCTCTGGCAGAAAAAAAAACATGTAAACGTCGCTGTAATCTATTACACAATATTTGACACCGAATCTTGTTTTAATACACACGCATATTGAAATACACTCAAGGAAAAATGGTGGGCATGGCTTGTGTTTTATACATTTCGGCCGAAATCTTTCATTCTCAGTCATTTCTTTGAGGCTTTTATGAGGTGGTTATGATGATGTTTTGAAGTTATGAATTTATGATGTTATGATGTCATGTTATAATGTTTCAACAAAAATATTTTGAAGTAAAATGATGTCTTTCAAATAGGTTGATACTATCACGTATTTTGCTACATAAAAACTTCGATAATGTATCAAAATCGATATATATTACATGGCCTTGTATGGCCAGTATGGGTAAGCATGATTCTCAAAAATACCGCGTGCCTTTTGTTCATCCATTTCATTTTTGCGCAACGCCGAAACGACTTGTACAGTTTCCTCATGCGTCAAAATTTTATACAGTTACTGCATTGAGGAGGCCAGTTGTTCAAAGCTGAGTTACCTTAACCCTAGAACAGCTTGTTTATAAATTTGAAAATATTTTTTTAGAGATCTGGTCTGGATCAGCATAGCCATAGGAGTTTTCTTTCCTGAAGTTTTGAAACAAACAGACGTGCAGAAATACATAAACTAACACAGCAGGTTAAATTTTGACCCAGGGTAATTAGCGCTAATCCAGCTTAAGTTAATCCTATAAGTAGTTCGTGATATGTCGATAACATTGTATATAATTGTTTACGTATTATATTTGCTGTCCGCAAATTTTATTATATCGATTTCACAACTTTTTCACGTCAAAATTTTAAACCACAAAAATGAATTTGCGCAAAAAAACCGGATGTATAGCACTAAACCCAGTATCGTAAAAAAGGCAGAGGGAAGCCCTTTGTATCATAATGAACGAAATTAACGCATTTCCTTCTTTTAATGTTCAAACTAAATGGTAGCTAAGATCGAATGTGACAGCTTTTTCACTTTTTTCGGCACGACTTAAAAGCCGATATATGTTTGCTATTTCTGACATATATCAATCAGATAAAAACGTGTCTTTGTGTAGCTTTTTGAGAGGCGATATAAAAAGGAATGCATTAATTTTATGATCTGAAAGTGCGTCTTTTGAAAGCGACCTTGTCAAAAATAACAATTTTTTGGTTGGCAAAAACACAATATTGTTCATTGTTTTTTGCTTGTAATACACCCTTTAGATAATTACGTCATTTGGCCTGGAAGCCTTGCTCTCATGAATCGTGAGCCAATTCACTTTGCGTGATTTACTAAAGAGAGCCAGGCTCCAAGACCAAAAAGTATGTGTGACGTATTATCGAAAGGGTGTATTATATCTTACGCATTGAATGTGCATAATTAAAAATATTGCTCATAACTATTAGGGGTAATGTACAGTATTACACACAAAATTATATGTTATGATACGAGTTCTTGCTAATTTTACACGAGAAATGCGAGCGAAAAGCGGACGACTGACTAAAACCGACATTTATTGTTTCGTCAGATTTGAATCATGTTTTGAATGATGTGTTTGGCAACCTCAAAAGTTAATATGGTTGTTAATTAACCTTTCTCACGCCACCGTTTTTGTGTGGCTTTTGAGCCGAAGTGAGTCTGCGAGATAAGTCCACATAACAGCGACTTTTATGATTTTTTTGGACGAACGATGGTAAATTTGCTTTGTAAATGGTTAGTTTATTTTGAAAAATTGCTTTTCACATTTTAGTTCTCTGTATTGGTTAACGAGAATTATAGATGCCACCCAAAAATGGCGGATATCCGTCATCGTAAGAAAGGCTAATTGCCATGAATATTTGCATTCTACTGATGAACTTTATGCGTGTCTTTGTAATATAATTAATCCCGCGTGCTTTACAATAGCATGCCCGTTTGACGCAATTCCACTTCTTAAACGTGACTTATAGAGCCCTAGCTGTTGAAACGAGTCCAACATGGCCAAAATTGTTGATCAGCCAACATCAAGCAACACTTCCCAAACATAGTCTTCAAACGAGGCCAACAATTATGAATCCAGCATTGGCCTTAATTTAACGAACACAAAAGTCTTAATTATGCAATTAGAAGATAATTGAGACTTCTGTGCTTGTTCCCCGAAATGTTTCCTTTTTTAGAGCTACAGGTTTTAAAATGAAACTTCTAAATATTTAGAAGTTTGACTACATTCTGTGAAGCGCGAATGAAACGAGAATTAATGAGAGTGCATATATGAGAGTTGGCGTCACGCGATCTTGTTTGGCTGTTCTTAATGCTTTCCAAACACTATCATGTATTCTATTTAAGTTGAAACACAGTTGGAACACTCGTTAAACCTTTATCTAAAGTTTTAAAGTGTACCCTGTAACAATTTGTGACTGCAACTCTCGTCTTCGTTTGATCAGGACTTTATTGTTTAAAATGAGAAGGGCTGTATCATTCATGTTGCGACATGCATTGTTGGTCCAAGGGTATAGATTGCAATTTCATCTGTTGACATTTTCTTAGTTTTTGTTGACTAAGGGTAAATTAATTAAGTCCGATATCGGATGAACAGATGATGGCTTGAGGAAATAATTCTTGTTTCAATTCGCCGCCATACATGATGCAGCCTTTTATATATGGAATGGGAAATTTTCAGTAAACCGCCAAGGAGTGCTTTCCATTTAATAGGAAGTTTAAGCCTCGCGTTTCCGGGAACGGCAAATTGCAAGTTTGAAATTTCTTGGCAAAATGTTCGTTGAACGTTTTCGTTTCATATTTTCTCTCTTGCGTCGAAAGAGTAATTATGTATTTCAGTTTTAAAACAGAAAGTTCATTTACTCTTTATTGCCTGATACCGTAAAATTTTTCTTTGCCTGCCGTTTGACGTATAACGCGAAGCTTAAACTCTCTATTGACTTGACCGGTCAAACCCGAAATTTTGTCTCTGTATCAATGGAAAGATCTGGTCTATGTTTCTCAAATATCAAGCGAAAATGGATCTTATAACTTTTCCGGTTAGATAGGTCTGCCGAAGCCCAAACGTTTTGTGTTCCATTCAACAATTTGACCGTTCTGACCGTGTTAATGGAAAGCGCCCCGTATTATTGCACTGCATTAAATAGTGCTGCTCGTTTCCGATCTCGTTTTATAAATCGCAATGTTGACAAATTATTTTATCGTATAGAACATTACTATATCGACCTGTTTCAACAAGTAGTCTATATGAGCTGAAATCCTGTGTCACATCCCTTGCGAATGATGATACAATATATACTTGTTATGCAAAAAATTTATACACTTGTAATACAAAAAATTAACACTTGTAATACAAAATATAATACAATTTCACTTGTGTTTAAATTTTAGGTCGTTCAGTACGGCTTCAAACAAAAGATAAAGACAAGAAGAAACTTGGTCGTTTGGCAGGACTTGCTATTGAAGCTGGCTTTGACTGGGTCGAGTATACAGATTCGAAGTACATCCGGGCTTCTGTTATCCCGGATGGTAAGTACAGTTTTAAACCTATATACTGTCCAGTGAGAGTCATTCCTTAAGCCAAAAAACTGAATATAGGCCGAATGACTGAAGTTGTCACTCCAGATTATATATATATATATATAATCACTTGCTAGAGTCAAACTGGTACCATTCTTCTCACACGAGACTGGGGTGAAACTAATATATATAATCACTTGCTAGAGTCAAACTGGTACCATTCTTCTCACAACTATTATAATCAGACAACTGGATATGTCGGATATTGCAGAAACTCAAATCTCAGTCACAGGGACGAAAGACTCCGTGCACTAACACTGCTATCTACTGCTTCACTAAGTTCAGGGTGTCCATGCACGGGCCTTGAAAATCCTGGAAAGTCCTTGAATTGGAAAAAAATAATTCCAGGACTGGAAAGTCCTTGAAAATCCGTAGAAGTCCTTGAAAGTCATGGAATTAATTTCCTTAATTTTCGGTAACCACTGAGTATTCTAATAAAATACAATACAATGGAAACTTTTCCAAAGTAATGTAATTTCCTTAACCTCCAGCTGTGCCAACTTTAGTGATTTTGATTAAAATGACTGAATAAGGTGAATTATTTACGGCAAATCTGTGCCATTTTCAAAGATTTTTCCCAGTTCTAGGTCCTTGAATTTACTGAAAAAAGGGCCTTGAAAGTCCTGGAAAAGTCCTTGAATTTCACCTTCACCAAAGAGTGGACACCCTGTAAGTTATTTTTTCTTCAAATTACTAGTTTGTCAAACGTCAGTGGACCTCGTATTCGTTCTTGATAACTCGGGAAGTGTGGGCGCGGAAAATTTCAAAAAAGTGAAAGATTTTGTCAAGCGTGTTATAGACTTCTTTAACATCGGCGCTGATGGCACTCATGTCTCGGTGGTCACTTATGACACAGATACACATATTGAGTTCAATCTCGTCAGATACTTCACAAAGAATGCGTTGAGAAATGCGGTGGATGACATTCAATATCATGGTTTTTTGACGTACACTGGTGAAGCCTTGAACACGGTCAGACAGAACGTTTTCACTACAAGGGCTGGCATGCGAGACGATGATGGTAAGTTTTGATTGGATGGTTGAGGTCACGTGTCCTATTTATTGTGTGCTGATTGGTTTCATTCACATCTCTCTCTTCCTCCAGGTATCCCGAAGGTTTTATTATTGCTTACCGATGGCTACTCAAATGGTATAAAACCACTCCAACCTGCCGATCAACTGCGAGATTTAGGTGTCAGTATTTTCAGTATTGGTGTAGGACCATCCGTGTCTCAGTCAGAATTGAAAGAAATTGCTTCAGACCCCGATGCAGATTATGTGTTCACGCTTAGATCCTTTAATCAGTTGGCTAGTTTTGTGGATAGAGTCAGTTCTGTGTCGTGTAGCGGTAAGTTTCATTAGAATATACCCTATTAAAGGCACAGTTCAGCTTTTTGATTGATGGTTTTTAAGGCGCATTTCAGCCATTTAAATTGAAAAACTAACTAGGAAAATCAATGATGCATAATTCAAGATGAGTAAACTCAATGTTTTTAACAATAAAATGTTTTAAAATATTAAAAACATTAAGTTTGCTGATCTTGAATTGACCATTTACATTATAGACTAAATTTTGGTCTAGACAAAAATTTCATCACAGCTTGAAAGAGCATCACAACATTAATAATATTCCAAAGTTTCGTTGCGAAATGTTGTAAAATGGGGATAATATAGCCTTGCGAAATTTGCAATTTTCAGTCATTTTGTATTACAAACGGGAAATTGATGCCCCAACACCCGATTGGGCTGTCAATTTCCCGTTTGTAATACAAAATGACTGAAAAACGGCAAACTTCGCAAGGCTATATTATCCGCATTTTACAACATTTCGCAACGAAACTTTGGAAGGTGATGAAATTTTTGTCTAGACCAAAATTTAGTCTATTATGCAAATGGTCCATTGTGCTTAATTGATTTTCCTAGTTAGTTTTTTCAATTAAAAGGGCAGAAATGCGCCTTAAAAACCATCATTCAAAAGGCTGAACTGTACCTTTAAAATAGCTGAATTCAAGCTAAGTGTTCATGAGAGTCGACAGTCACGCGACCTTGGTCAGCTGTTCTTAATGCTTTCCCAACACTATCATGTATTTTTTATTGAAGTTAAAACATAGTTGGAACAATCAACAAACCTTTATTTTGTTTATCAAGAGCTTGAAATGTCCCCTGTAACAATGAGTGACAGCCAACTCTCATCAATGTCATCCTCGTTTTACCGGGGCTTTTTCCCTCGTAGGTGAGCAAGTTTGACAGAACTCCAATGTGACGGTGTATATTTTTTATCATTTAGAGGGATCTCTGATTAACTCGTGCAAAGGTGCGGAGACAACTGTCGAAAGTGGTTCATTTAAATATTTCCGAACTACATTTGATGTCGTCACAAAAGACGAAGTCAGTATCGAAGTCAGGGATGTGACTGGTTAGTATATAAAACTACATTGATGTAATACATCACAGAGATGGGAGAAGGAGTTTATTATTATTATACATTTGATATTCCGTTTACATAAACCTAAATGAAATTTTCAAAACAATGAAAAGGACATTGTAAATGAAAAGTTGAGTTGAGTTGAAGACGTTTATGTAATGTTTACAATATGAGCGGCCGTACAACAACACGGACGCGAATGTTGTAAACAACTTAAAAAACGACTCATCTTATGAGTTCATTGGCGAAGTAATTTTAAAAATAAACGTTGTCTAAGCCGAGAAAATCAAAGTTAAAGTTTATGTAAATCAACATGAATCTGTATCACATATACAGATACGACACGCTTATGATTTTTCTTTGTGTTTTCTTCATGAATTATTAATGAGTTTTTTAATTGTATATATTGTTCACGTTTATTACAGTGGTATCAACAATAATGTTTTTTCTTCAATTAGGTCTCAGTCATTTATATGCATCTGGCACAAGTAAAAATCCCGGACCATTGGACTCGGCTAGTGTGAAGAATGAAGAAGACACAAATCCCAGGGCTGTTTCAGTGACCGTCGATGATGACACGAAGGTAAAATGCATGTTAGTTTAATTTAGGTCTCCTTTTGTAATAACACTGGATAAATAAAAATGACTCTTAATCGACTGAGATCCATTAAGAGAGAGCTTTCTACAACTGATAGAGCTATCTAGTAACATAAAGTTTAGTTTAGGTTTCCTCCTGTAGTAACACTGGATCATTATGGGAAGAACCTTACAGGGCCTCTAGAGAAAACACATTAGAACAGAGCTAACCGATGTAAAAGTTAGTTTAGATTAGTTTCCTCCTGTAGTAACAAAGGACAACCATTACTTGACCAGGTTTAGAACTGATAGAGCCGTATCAACGATAAACAAAGCTAGTTTAATGTCCAATGACATCAAATCTCATCCATGTTTCCATTATTTAGACGGTGTATGTCGCTGTGCAAGGTCAAAAAGACACTAATCAGTTTAGTTTGTCATTTTGGGATAACTTATTTGTAAACAGTGGAACTTTCCAAGTTGATGTCACGGAAGGTCTCGATCCCCACGATATAATAACTTTAAACATGGTGCAACATTCCTACGAGTAAGTATGAGTATGAGTTGAAATATTTTAAGATTTTTTTCTGGTAGCGTAGGAACAAACATCGACAGGTTATTATAGAATACTACCTACATGCACTAGGTTCCTATGTTTGAGATTTTTTCTGGTATACTTGCTACTATCCAAATGTATTCATGTTTTGTAATATTTTTTCAGCCTAGAGTTCATGATTTCCGACGGTAACGAATCATTGTTCAGTGTTGGAGAGACAAATTCTATTCCCAAACTCGCGACAAGAGTAAAACTCGACTATGAAACCAGCCCTAAATATAGTGTGGTCGTTGTAGCGCAAGATTTGGATAACAAGTGTCACAAGAGTCGAGCTCTGGTCCAGATCAATGTTATTGACCAGAATGATAATCGTCCAACATTTCAAAAGAATAAGTACACAGCCAGGATTTCCGAGAATGCTCAAAATGATGCTTTTGTTATAAAGGTATTTGGCTGCATAAAACATAATAATATTTATACACAATGGTAATGCTATAATCGTATCTTGGCTGTTCTATACAGCCTCTTGGCTGTTCTATACAGCCAACTTGAGACATGATAGATTTTTATTTGGGATTTTTTAACCATTTTATTCCATTTTCCTCAGGTGGTCGCTATCGATTTGGATTCAGGTGAAAACGGGAAAATCACTTACAGTATTACCGCTACCACTGCCCCAGGACTTTTCGACATTGATGCTGTCTCCGGTGATGTCACATTGCAAGGCCCTCTGGACTACGAGACCGTAAACTTGTATACACTGACTCTAACGGCTAAAGATAATGGCTCGCCCAGTTTGAAATCTACTGTCGTACTGGACATTTCTGTTCTCGATGTGAACGAACAGCCAAGCATCAGTTGTGTTGGAAGTTGTATTTACACTGTCTCTGAAGGTAGGCTTCAGTCCAAATGATTATATATGGAGTGTCTCAAAAAAAACAACTAGACACTGTTTCATTTCAAAAGCTATAATTTATCGCAATGAAATTAAGATTTATTCAGACTAACTTAGATTTTGATATATAACAGCTACAGCAAGCTATTTCATTATTTATATTCCCAGGATAGTTACATCTTAATTAAACATACTGTTTTCCACGTTCTTGGATCATCTGTATCATAACTCATGTTTATTTCTTATTCCAGCTGCATCAACTGGTACATCGATTGGAAAACTTGCCACACACGATCCAGATACGGCAGCAAACTGTTTACTACAGTACAGCTTTCCTAAACCGGCGGCCGACAAGTTCACTGTGTCTAGTAACGGCGACATCATAACCACAGCTAGCCTTGACCGAGAGACCTATCCTCAGTACGTATTCTATATCACAGTTATGGATTGTGGCTCACCTCCGCTGACCGATAGTGTTCGCGTTACCATCACAGTTGGTGACGTCAATGATAATAATCCCGTGTTCCCTGGACCGTATGTCGTGGATATGTCTGAGAATGAATCACCTCGTAGCAGAGTTGTACAAGTCAAAGCTACCGGTAAACTTCTAACCTTGCATAACGAGGACCATCCTAAACTATCTCTATTTTTACTGTAAAACTCTATCAGTTCTAAACTGTTTCCCCTTTGGATCCAGCAAGTGTCATATTTTATTGATCCAGTGTTATTGCAGGAGAAAACCTAAACTAAACTGACTTTATTTATACTGGATAGTTTTATCAGTTCCAAACTGTTCTCCCTAGAGGTCCAGTAAGGATCGTCATTTATTGATCAAGTCTTATTACAGGAGAAAACCTAAACTAAACTAACTTTATTTATGCTGGATAGGTTTATCAGTTCTAAACCGTCCACCCTAAGTATTTTTTCTTATTGATCCAGTGTTACTACAGGGGGAAACCTAAACTAAACTAACTTTATTTACACTGAATAGTTTTATCAGTTCGAAACTGTTCTCTCTAGAGGTCCAGTAAGGTTTATCTCTAATTGATCCAGTGTTACTACAGGAGAAAACCTAAACTAAACTGACTTTATTTATACTGGATAGGTTTATCAGTTCTAAACTGCCCACGCTAAGTTTCATCTCTTATTGATCCAGTGTTACTACAGGAGGAAACCTGAACTAAACTAACTTGATACTGGGTAGCTCTATCAGAGTGTCGGCGATTTTCTCGTTCTGATGGATGCGAATAAGTGAACTCGCACCTAAAGGGATATAGAATGGATTATTGACAGTCTTTTGCATGTCATTCATTCAATAACATCCTCAAGGGGGAGAAATATCACCGACAAAATTGCTAGTATGAACTAGGCTTAATAGTGTTCTCACTTTGCTTTTCAGATGCTGACGAAGGAGCTAACGCCGAGATAAAATATGCAATAATTGGAACTGACGCCTCGGACTTTTCAATCAACATAGATGATGGAACTATAATAACAAGTTCAGCACTTGACTATGAAACAGAGACGACATACACGTTCACTGTGGTTGCACGAGATCAAGGATCTCCCAATAAGAATGGTCAGACGACAGTTACAGTAAATGTTCTTGATATTAATGACAACGCGCCGTCTTTCGTGGGTACACCATATGTTGCTAACGTCAAGGAAAACGCCGGACCCGGCACTCATGTCATTGATGTGAATGCTACTGATAGCGACTCAGGTATGTGGTGCTATTCCTTTCCGACACAACCAGCCCTCGACGGCGAGGGTTAGGTAATTGAACACTTTTAAAACTAGAAACATCCAATGGCCTGCAATGTTAAACCAATCTCGTTTATACAAGATAGATCTATATAAGAACAATTTCATGTTGATCCAGTGTTACTACAGAAGGAAACATAAAGTAAACTAACTTTATTTATGCTAGATAGCTCTATCAGTTCTAAACTGTTTTCTGTAGATGTTTTTAAACGGGATAGCTCTATCAGTTCTAAACTGTTCTCCCTATAGAAGTCCAGTAAGAGTAATCTCTTACTGATCCAGTGTTACTCCAGGAGGAAACATAAAGTAAAGTAACTTTATTTATACTAGAAAGCTCTATCAGTTCTAAACTGTTTTCCCTGACCCCAGAGATAAAAGACAAATGTATTAACTACTATGCGACCAATTCAATTTTTCAGGACTTGGAGGACAGTTGAAGTATTCCATTATTTCTGGTAATGTGAGGCTTGGTTTTGCTATTCATCAAGACACTGGTCTGATTACCGTAAACAATGCTCTCGATCAAGAAACTACGTAAGTTGTCTGTGATTCTCTTGTTTACTCTTTGGTTTGGGTTACACACTTGTATTCTGTTTCCTTGTTTCTCAAGTGATATATATGAACGAGAAAGCGTTTATTGCTGACGTCCAACGCACCGAAAAGTTTATTAAAAACCGAGACACTAGGCGAGTGTTTTCTACATACGCTCAGGTGTTCTAAACGCCGGTAGTGAACATCTTTTGAGTTTGTTATATTACTTCTCAAACGGACTTGATTTAAAGGGAAATGGCAATATATTTTTTTATTTTCTCGTTTGAAAGAACATTTAAAACCATATATAAAACTCTTTTACCGTTTTTTCATATCTTGCTTACTTCTACAAATATTTTAATCGAAAGAAATGAAATGTCCGCCATCTTGGATTTTTGTAGATATGCATGTTACGTCACAACAGGGGTCACGCAATATTTTTATCTAGACAACCACTAATCATTTTCACTCAAAATTATACTCCGTATGCCCTTGGAAATATCAAGATCACTTGAAACCTTTAAAACATCTACCAATCAATATTTGGTCAGCAACGAATACTTTTATATGGTTAATCCCTGTTGTGACGTCACCAAAACTATCGTTAATGAGATAAAAAATGTATCCAAGATGGCTGACATCTCAGTACTTCAAGTGAAAATATTTCAAGAACTAAGCAAGATATGAAGAATCGGTAAAAGAAGTTATTAAATAGTTTCAAAAGTTCTTTCAAATGCGAAAATAAAAAAATATATTGCCATTTCCCTTTAAAGAGGAATTCAAGAGTCAAGACGATAGTTGAGTTATGAGTGTTTATCATGAATTGTTGATTTTGAGAAGTCCATGTAACTATCAGATTTCCATCTTCTATTAGGCCATCCTACACCTTGGTTGTCCAAGCAAAAGACAATGGCTCTCCGTCACTCAATAGTCAAACCACAGTCACTATAACAGTCAGAGATACGAACGACAATAGACCAATCTTTCAAGGATTGCCGTACACTGCATCTGTTCCTGAGGACTTCGGTACGATCCAACCTGTTCTAAAGGTAAGAAGAAAGCCATAAAAAGCCTTAATGGAGCTGTTTCAGTTATCAGGTTAAATTTAAGCCAGTTATCAGGTGTAAGGTTTTGTATGATATCTTTAAAGTGCGACAGTGCGACTAACCCCAAATATAATTTTTGGTATGTGTAATATTTGGGCCATTCCAAGAAGAAATGTAATGTATCTTTATAGTAAAAACATCATTTTGATCAACTTTTTCACCGTCAAAGTTCCAGATATGATGTCATTAGGTGAATTTTTGGTACAAAAAACAAAGGAAAACTAATTGTTTTTGTTTGTGGAAACACCACGTAAATTTATTACTGCAAAGCTTTCGATCCGTAAGCCCGGATCTTCATCAGTGCTAATAATATGTATGAAGATCCGGGCTTACGGTTCGAAAGCTTTGCAGTAATAAATTTACGTGGTGTTTCCACAAACAAAAACAATTATATTTTATCGCCATGCAAACATTCAAAGAACTTAAAGGAAAACTAATTTGCAATTCACCTAATGACATCATATCCGGAAACTTTGACAGTGAAAAAGTCGATCAAGATGGGATTTTTTATTATAAAGATATATTACATTTCTTCTTCAAATGACCAAAATATTACACATACCAAAAATCATATTAGTGGTTAGTCGCACTTTAAAGTTTTCTGTTCAATTGCTTGTCAGCTATTAGTTCAGCCATCGTTTGTTTGGAATGATCATGTAAATTTGTTTTTTTGTTCTCCAGGTGTCTGCGACAGATGACGATGCTGGAGTATTTGGTGCCATTACGTACAGCATAGACTCTCCTCCTGTTGCAAAGGAAACATTCACAATTGATAACAATGGTAAGAAAGAACGCTTTTCTAACACACTGATGCCAGGCTGTGTTCGCACCGCTTGTTCCCAGCTTGTTGACAAGTTTCTACAGAGTTGATGACGTAACAGTATTGCTGTAAAGTCGATGACACAGATTGTTTCAACTTATATCAGTTTGTGTTTGTCTTACTTGTTCTCAGCTTGACAAAGTAACAGCATTGTTACACCTTGCAGACTTGCTTGCTACAAACCTGTAGCAAATACATCTTGCAATTTACAAGTACTGGATAAAACACGAGCAGCCGATCTGTATCTGATATACAAACTCGAGATACAGATCGGATGCGAATGTTTATCGTACTTAAAAAATGACCCACCTTATGAGTTCATTGGCGAAGTAATTTTAAAAATAAACATTGTCTAAGCCGAGAAAATCAAAGCTGAAGTTTATGTAAATCAGGATAAATATTTATCCGATTTACAAACATTGATTAAACATTCATTTCTTATGTATTTTCCTCGTGAATTATTAATGAATTTTTTAAGAGATGATATTTCACAAATGTAATGCTACTGTAAGTCTTCCAGTACATGCTAAATGCTCTAAGTCTTCCAGTACATTGTTATTACAGGGAACATTCGTGTGAAAACATCCTTGGACTACGAAACAACGAAGGACTACACTTTCACAATCGTAGCGAAAGATGGCGGCAACCAAGCCACTTCAGCATCTGTCACCATCTACGTCACTGATGTGAACGACCACACGCCTCGTTTTGATCAGAACCCATACACCGAGTCTTTGTCTGAGAATCTGAATTCAGATCACTTGGTAGGCACCGTCAAAGCAAGTGATGACGATTCTGGTCAGCGGGGTTCCGTGACGTATTCAATTATTGGCGGGAATATTGGGGGCGCTTTCACAATCAACGCTAAAGGTGAGTTTTGATCTGATCTACATATAAACTAACTTTATTTATACTGGATAGCTCTATGTTCTCCCTAGAGATGGAGTTATATTCATCTTTTGTTGCTATAAAGCTAAAGTCACTGTATTTATACTGGATAGCTCTATCAGTTCTAAACTGTTCTCCCTAGAGGTCCAGTAAGAAACATTTCATTAATCCAGTATCACTATGGGAGTAATCTCTCGCGCAGCTGAGCCCAAATTATTGGACAATCAAACCTGGTCTCTAAGGTGACAGGTTAACATACACTAAACCTTGTACCACCAATTCCACACATTTTCTTCAATTCATTCGAGATATAAAATTTCGCCCAACTAGTCCATTTCTAAACAACAAAACTACTTAACTTTTAGGTGAAGTAATTGCCGTAATTCGCCTCGATCGTGAAACTCGTGAAATCTACAATCTAACTGTCGAAGCTAGAGATGGCGGCTCGCCAGCGAAAAGCTCGACGACTAAAGTGGACATCACGGTGCTGGACGAGAACGACAACACACCATCTTTTGACAATACCTTCTACTCGTTGAGAATTAGCGAAAACAACGCCTTGGACGCAGACGTTGGACAATTTGGACCTGCCACGGATAACGACAAAGGTTTGAATGGCGAAATTGTATACACCATCTTAAGTGGTGATCCTAATGGTGATTTTGAGTACGATGGTACAACCGGCATGCTGAAAGCAAAGAAGGTCCTAGACCGTGAAAACACCTCAGTGTATAGTCTTGGGTTTGAAGCTAGGGATAGGGGCACGCCGTCTCGTTCGTCCACAGTTGTTGTACAAGTGATGGTTGACGACAAGAATGATAATTCTCCCATCTTCACCAATAATCCATATAATTGCGAGATTGAAGAAAATTCCGCCACAAATTCCCGAGTTTGTTTTGTCCTTGCCTTGGATAAGGACGCCGGGGGAAATGGTGCAGTCACTTACGCGCTGGTTACACCAAGTACTACCTTCAGTGTCGATCAGGTGGGTCTAAACGCTGTTTATAATGCACCTGCAATTTCTGCTGCGATTTTTTTCTTCTGATGAATGCAAATTTACCTATGGGGAATTCCATTGTATTTGTACCCATTGCAAATTTACCTATGGGGAATTCCATTGTGTTTCCACCCCTTGCACTATTGTGTTTCATTATGGCATTGTTAACACCTTGGAGAGGTCTTTTGAATAACTAACATTTTGACTTTAAGTGTTTTCCGTTTGCTGTCACCAGTACGTCAATCGTAAGGTCCTTTAAATCTAACCTCTACTTCTTCCCCTCTCTTAGGATGATGGTGAGATCAAAGCGTTGGTAACATTAGACAGAGAGAGTACCCCCTCGCATACTTTTGATATTATTGCAACAGACAAAGGTTCTCCAAGTAAGAGCTCAACTGTAACAGTAAACGTTAAAGTTCTGGACAAGAATGATAATGAACCACTATTCGACCAACCCTCGTACAGTTTTGCTGTTGGTGAAGATGCCAACGTGAACGATGTGGTTGGACGAGTTCGTGCCGAGGACAAAGACGAAGGATTGAGTGGCGAGGTGGTTTACAGCATTACTGCAGGAAATACAGGCACTGCGTAAGTATAATGTAGACACTTTAACTTTGTTCTCAAGGCTAGATTACCACTAACGGCACCTACCTCCAATTTCTGATACTATGCTGTTAACATTGACGACTGACCAAAGTTCAACTACTTGTGGCTAGTGCTTGTTTAGTATGTTACTCCTTTCGTCAATTTAGTCTTTTGTTTATTCTCTTTTATAGATTTTCAATCAATGCCACAGGCTTTATTGCAGTCAAGTCTAGTTTAGATCGTGAGTCCATCCCTAGCTACAGACTGACTGTTCGAGCCGCTGACCGTGGTACACCGTCTCAATTCTCCAGTCGTGACGTCATCATCACAGTGACGGATGTTAATGACAACGATCCAATCTTTACCGCTGACCAGTATAATGGCACGATCGCAGAAGACGCTTCTGTTAGGTCCCCAGTTGTGCAGGTATAATCCTTTCTTATTTTGTATTTTTGTTTACGACTTTTCCCCATACCGTGTGTGCAATAGACCTTTCCCCTTTTAAGTGAAATTTTGATCTAGATAAGCCTGGACAAAAATTTCATCACAGCTTGAAAGAGCGTCACAAAATTAATAATATTCCAAAGTTTCGTTGCGAAATGTTGTAAAATGCGGATAATATAGCCTTGCGAAGTTTGCCGTTTTTCAGTCATTTTGTATTACAAATGGGAAATTGGTAATCAGTTTGATCATTAATGATCATTTGTGATGCAAAATGACTGAAAAACGGCAAACTTTGCAAGTCTATATTATCCGCATTTTACAACATTTCGCAACGAAACTTCGGAATATTACTAATTTTGTGATGCTCTTTCAAGCTGTGATGAAATTTTTGTCCAGGCTTGTCTAGATCAAAATTTCACTTAAAAGGGGAAAGGTCTATTACATTACTTAAAATACGAATGCATTTAATGCCCGTATTCTAAAAGCTCACTCACACTCAAAGAGTGGAGGTTCAATCTGAGCTTCTCTTGAGTGTCAATGCTGTTTTTGAATAGCTGGAGGGCGAGTAGTCACATAGTAAGGTACGACACTAACCCTCCAGCTATTCAAAAACAGTATTGACACTCAAGAGAAGCTTAGATTGAACCTCCACTCATTGAGTATAAGTGTGAGTGAGCTGTTAGAATAGGGGCGTACAGTAAGTAATCAAATTTACCAACTATTTAACAGTTATTCTACGAACTCGAGTCGAATATGAGCTGATAGCCGATGAGGCGCGTAGCGCCGAGTCGGCTATCGCTCATATTCGACGAGAGTGAGTGGAATAACTGTTTTATTATATACACAAGGTCTGAATTCACCGACTTTGGTTTTCGGATATTTTCAATATTTTTCTATTTTGTTTATGTTTTTATCTTCGCTCTTTCGGCCGATTATTTCTTCAAAAATATATATTTTTAACCATTTTAAATTTTAAAAATTCATTTGCTAACCTGTAAACAATTTGTGCGAGTTTTTTCATTGTGTTTTTAATCCTGTAAAGGCTATAAAAAGCGAACAACTTGCCGTTTTCTCGTTCGCAAAAATCGGAAATTCAGTTTGAGCCGCCATTTTGTTTTTCTTTACTAGTAGGATATGAGCTAATATCCTGCTGGTAGAGAACCAATCAGATTGCAGAATAACTCATATCCAGACCTTGTGTATATAATAATTTGTTGATATGGTTAGTTTTAGCCGTGAATATTGAAGCTGCACTATACCAGGTAGCTTTGCCTAGCGGCGGGTGAAAAAACACCTAAACGAGGAATATTGCAACGGAATTATTTTTTCGGAGGTATTATTGAAACATTGTTTCGTTCAGCTTCTGAAAGTTGCACAAAGTTATCCAGCACAATGTAAACGTAGCGTAAAGGCTAATTTCCACTCAGGAAAATTATCCGTGGATTGGAACGGACAAGAAAATTTTTCTTTCTCTTATGAGCTCTGGGTTGGAACTAATGACTTTGACACAGGGAAAAATTTTCTTGTCCGTTCCAATCCACGGATAATTTTCCTGAGAGGAAATTAGCCTTAAGTGTGTGATGCCGTGTTGCTCTAGCTCAAGACAATATCGTTGTTTCAGGTAAAAGCAACAGATGCTGACGAGGGAGTGAACAGTCAAATCAAGTATAGTATAACTGGCGGACAGAACCGTGAACACTTTAGCATTGATGAAGATTCTGGTTTTATCAGTACTGCGACTAAACTGGACTACGAGAGCACGAAATCATATTTACTTACTGTTACAGGTATTGTGTTGTGTTGTGTTGTATTGCATTGTATTGTATGTATTGTATGATTGATGAAGTTAGTGGTTGATGGGCAAATCGCCTGCCTTATGCTTCATTCCACTAATAATATTTCACTTCTATTAATTATAGCCAGTGATGGCGGCAACCCAAAAAGAACGGACACAGCTCAAGTCAGCATTGCGGTTGAAAACACCAACGACAATGCGCCGATATTTGAACCCGGTTCACCTATCGCCCACGTGAGCGAAGCCGTTGCCATAGGAACGAATGTAGTGAAATTCAACGCTACCGACCAAGACGGGAACTTGTTGACTTTCCTTATAACTTCTGGTAACACAGGGAATACATTCAGTATTGATAAAAACACCGGAGTATTGACTACCAATGCAAGCTTGGATCGGGAGACAATTCCAAGATATAATCTCACTGTTACTGTGACAGATCAAGGGCAAAGTTCCTCGAGAGATCTCATTGTTATTGTGACGGATGTGAATGATAATGAGCCTCGTTTTGATCCAGCGTCGTATTCCGTTAATGTCACAGAGAATAGCAATGCAGGTACGTATCGCACTGACCTCAAACGATAACTAGATAGTTCACATATGAAGACCTAAGTGATTCCAGTTATTACTGAAGACCACCAATATAATAGTGTGTTTTTATGGAGGATTTTACTGAGAAAATAAAACATGATAACCTGTGATGATTATAAATGAATGTTTAACTACGATATTTTTTTCAGGTGCTGTAGTAACTGTAACAGCGACAGACAATGATGAAGGCGACAACGCTAAGATCACTTACTCGATCGATTCTACCTCTAAGGGGAAATTTACTATCGATGCCACAACCGGGGAAATCTCTACCAAAGCACCGCTGGACTATGAAGAGAGCCCACTTTACGTGATTACTGTGACAGCAAAAGACTCTGGGACACCTGCATTATCATCCACCGCAATGGTCGTTGTGACGGTTAAAGACTTGAATGATAACAATCCTCATTTCCCAAGTGACTATTCTACGTCATTGCGTGAGAATACCGCCGAAGGCACGGTGATACGGGTTGAGGCGAAGGACCTTGATTCAGGCGTTAATGGAGAGATTGAATATATGATTACTGGTGGTAATGTCGGGAGGTGAGTTTGGTTTTTACCTCCGCCAGGAATTTATATTTTTATCTGCATTTGTCTGTGTGGGTATTTGTTTATCAGGGAAAGGTTGTTCAAATGTTGGTTAGCGCTAACCCTGGGTTAAAATTTAACCTGCTGTTTTAGTTTATGTATTTATACACGTCTGTTTATTTCAAAACTTCAGAGAAGTAAACTCCTATCGATCCAGACAAGATCTCTGAAGAAATATTTCCAAATTTTGTAGACAAGCTGTGAGGAAGTTTGCTTTGAATTTTAAGTTAACCTAGGGTTAAACTAACCCAGCTTTGAACAACCGGCCCCAGCACAATAACTTATCAAACGTATTACAAAAATATCTGATGGCCATTGCCCAAGGACAAATTGATTGAATTTTGGTTCAGTGTGGTTGGAAATTGGATGAAAAATTAGCAAAAGTTTATCTTGAAATCCCTTTTGGAAACGAGTGAGGGACTGGTCATAATTTAGCAGGAGGGGTGGGGAGGTGGAAACAGTGGGGGGTCACATATTTTTTAGCCAGGAAAAAAGGGGGTTCATAAAATATTAGACAGTTTATGAAGGCGGGGAGGGGGTCTGTTGTTTTAGTTCAATTGATTGTTTTATACATGCCTTCTCACATTTTGTTTGAGTTGCATTGAAAAAAATTGATTCTTTAAACTTAAAATGAAAAGTTTGAAAAAACGAAAGTTTTATATATGACTATGTATTGGTATAATATAAATTTTAGTATTTGATTTGAAGTGCAACTAGAAAATTAGAAAGTGTAATTAAAAAAATTATTGAATGCAGGGTTTAATAGTAGGTAGGTACATTTTTACTGACACGAGCAAGAGAGGGGGCATTATTTTTCCGGGTTATGGCAAAGCAGGGTCACAAAATATCATTCCTTAAAATCTTGAATTACACCTCCCCACCCCACCCCCCCTGATAAATTATGACCAGTCCCTGATCGTATTTTATACTTCGAAGTCTAAAACTCCACTTTTCTCATCCACAGGTTCTTTAGAATTAGGAAATTTGATGGGATCATAGAGGTCGCCAATCCTCCAGATCGAGAACAAAATCCATCATTCACCCTTACTGTCACTGCCAGCAACAAAGTTCCTGCAGATTCCTCAGCGCCTTCGACTAAATCCACGGCAACGGTTGCCATAACAATCCTTGACGTCAACGACAATGCCCCAATCATAACCAACACTGAGACATCAGTTGAAATTCAAGAAAATTCTCTCAAAGATACTCCAGTTGTTGATGTAAATGCCACTGATAGAGACATTGGAGTGAACAGCGAACTTGAGGTCAGTTGGTTGAACTAATGTATGAAATATTCTTGCACATTTTTCATACCAAGCTTGACTATTGGATATTTGGGATATTTTGATTGAAAGCAATTAGCTATCCGCCATCTTGTATTAATTCTTAACCTCGTAGCTTTGCTACGTAAAATGAAAATCCTGAATAATCCAACATGGCGGACAGCTCACTGTTTTCAGTCAAAATATTTCAGGGATGAAACAAGATATGAAAAAGCTGTAAAAATTCTTAATATTAATTATTGCCAATGCCATTGCCAATGTCCTTTAAGAAATGTAGTCATACTATTCCTTTTTTTGTTACTATAGTATGAAATTGTGGATGGTAATATCGATGATGCCTTTGCAATCGACACAGCGACTGGTTTGATAACAGTCCAGGGAGGAATAGATCGCGAAACTCACGAATCATACACGCTCAATGTTCGTGTTTCTGATAAAGGAAACCCAAGTCTGTTTTCTGAGAAAGAATTCTTGGTGAACGTCACAGATTTAGATGACAATATTCCTAAATTTACCGCAACGTCTTATGAAGGTGAGTTTTGGGGTGAGGGTGGTGTATTGCTATGGTAGGATATAGTGTGGTATGGTTACTTGGTATGGCGTGGTGTGCTATGGTAGGATGTAGTGTGGTATGGTATAGTGTGGTATGGTATAATATAGTGTGGTATCATATGGTATGGTGTGAATATGGTATGGTATGATAATGTATATGGTATGGTATAGTGTTGTATGGTATGGTATGGTATGGTATGTTATGTTATGTTATGGTATGGTATGGTATAGTGTGGTATAATGTGGTATGGTATGGTATGGTATAGTGTTGTATGGTATAGTGTTGTATGGTATGGTATGGTATGGTATGTTGTGGTATGGTATGGTATGGTATAGTGTGGTATAGTATGGTATGGTATGGTATGGTATAGTATGGTATGGTATAGTGTGGTATGGTATGGTATGGTATGGTATGGTATGGTATAGTATGGTATGGTATGGTATGGTATGGTATAGTATGGTGTGGTATGGTATAGTGTGATATGGTGTTGTATGTAACGAAATATACGTAATTAAATAAGTAACCTTGCTTTTAGGTTCTGTGAGCGAAGCTGCAAATGTCTCAACATTTGTGGTCCAAGTCTTGGCATCTGATAAAGATACTGGAGCTAACGGAAAATTAAAGTTCTCCATCGTATCTGGCGATGACCAGAAACATTTCAAAATCGACCAAGACACTGGAGACATCCGTACCAATGCGCTTCTCGATTTCGAAACCATCCCAACATACACTCTGGTGGTGAGAGTCGAGGATAAAACCCATAACGTTCAAACTAATGTGGTGATACGGCTTATCAATATTAACGACAATAGCCCTATCTTTAATCCTGCGCAATACCAAGAAAGCATAGCGGAGAATCGAGCGCAAGGAGACGCGTTCCTCACCATAACCGCTACAGACAGAGATGCATTCGGTGGTCTTACATACACCATCGTCAGTGGTAATACAGACAGTAGATTCACTCTTGAACCAGGAAGCGGAAAGCTCCGAGTTGCCGGCGAGTTAGACCGAGAAACTACCGATTTTTACAACCTTACCGTACGAGTTACCGATGGCGGTGCTCCGGCTCGTTCCGACACGGCCTTCGTAGAGATTCAAATTACGGACATTAACGATAACCCGCCGAGGTTTAATACATCACGTGAACAAGTGTCTGTACGGGAAAATTCCGGTGTCGGAACTCCGGTACTGAGGGTATTTGCTGAGGATAGGGATATTGGTCTGAATGGCGAGGTGAAGTATGACATCACTGATGGAAATGATGATGGATTGTTCATGTTAGGAGAAACGTCTGGAATACTGACTGTGAATGGGAACATTGACAGGGAAACAGTCACCAGTTTCAGGTATGACATTTGTATTTTTCCCACGTGTGTACCCTCTCTTCTGACAAGTAAATGCGTCAGTTCCACTGACCAGACATCTAAGACTGGATCGAGTGTAATTTTGAATTCAATGAGCCAATTTTGAAGTCCGAATATTTTTAACGAGAAGAGATTTTTAAATCTGTCAAATTAGATTTTTTAGCGTAACTATCAAGAAAATGGCTTTACTTTTGTAGCTTAAAAGATATAGCTTCCCACACCTCTGGTAACGTATTTTAGAACGATTTATACGCTAGATAACGAGACTCTGCCATATAGGCAATTCCAGCTTTTAGTTTATGCGTGCAGGGGATGACGGGAAGTAAGGTATCATATCGCTGATTATGCTGAAAAAATAAAAATGGTGGCCGTGTAAACAAGGAGTGATAGCTTATACTTGTAAATATTGAAATATTTCGGTGGTTTCGGCAGTTTTTATTGAAATTTTTCAGTATAATTAGCAATATGATACCTTACTTCCCATCATCCCCTGCGCGCATAAACTAAAAGCTGGAATTGCCTATTGGTGTGACGTCATTAGTTATTCGCCAGGGCACGGTTGTTGAAAGCTGGTTTAGTGCTAACCCTTAGTTGAAATCCAAACTTCAGAGAAGTAATCTTCTATCAAACAAGATTTCTGAAGAAATATTTCCATGTTTATAACAAGCCGTTTGGAAGTTTGCTTAGAATTTTAGGTTAACCTAGGGTTAATCTAACCGGATTTTGAACAATCAGCCCCAGCAATACAGACCCCTGAACCTTGCATTTAACTTATTAGACTGGAGATTGTGGCGCAAGACAAAGGCACAACCCCTTTGAAATCATCTCCTCTCGTTGTTGACATTGAAGTCCTCGATGCTAATGACAACAGTCCTCTATTCACGAAAGACAGTTATACACGAGGTATTTCTGAGACCAGTTCTATTGAATCGTTCGTTGAAGAAGTACAAGCGTTGGATGCTGATATTGGTGTGAACGGCCAGGTTGTCTACTCGCTGTTGAACGGCACAGAATATTTCAAAATTGAAAATGAAACCGGTATGTTTTTTAATGTTGTTGGTATTGCTTTTATGCAAACTAAATTTGTATTTATTTAAAATATCTAATTCTCTTTCGCAGGTGTCATATCAACAATCGTTACTTTAAACAGAGAAGCCGTTCCCTTTTATACCGTAATAGTCCTTGCAAAAGATCTTGGCACCCCATCACGAAATTCAACCACATCGCTGAGAGTCACTGTTCTGGACGCCAACGATAATCCCCCGGTGTTCGACCTGGCGACACTCTGGGCGAACGTCACCGAAGAGCAACCGAAGGGTCTGTTCGTGATACGAGTGGTGGCGAACGATGCCGACGAGGGTATGAACGCGGAAATTGAGTACAGATTACAATCCAATGGAAAACAGTTTTTGAAAATTAATTCCACCACTGGAGTTGTGACCACGCTGGAGCTATTTGATTTTGAGGTTCAGAGAAATCACACTTTTAAAGTTACTGCATCTGACAAAGGTAGGATCCATGTTACTAGAGGGGCATCTGGGAACAGTGGAGCAGTGGCGTAACTCCTATGAGCTCTACCCGCTAAAAGCCGGGGGCACCCAGGCAAACAGGCTTCCAGGGGGGCACCCTGAACTGAGTTCTCCGGGGGCCTTGTTCATCTAAGGTTGTACGTGCATAAGTACAGTGGCAAACATTTCACTGTTTATGTCAAAAACAATTTCTGCATGGTGTTATTTCTGCATAGTTGTGTTTTTTGTTGTTGTATATTTTGCTATATATTTATATTTCCAGTTCAAGATACCACTAAAATTCGCTTCTAAACGACCAGCAAAATGTTCATATTGTAAGAGCTTCATGGTACTTTAAAAGGATCTAGAATACCCCTGGGGCACCCAATTCCGGTAGGACCAGGGGCAGGCTGGTCCAAACTTACGCCCCTGCAGTGGGGGCATTTTCGGGTGTGTATTTTATACATTTTTACACCTAACCACAAGCATCCGAGTAAAATGCAACCAGCTTCGATTCTTGCCAGAGGGTCTATAGTTTTATTTTTCACAACTGTTTCTGGTTAGGTCTAAAAAATGTATAATTTCACACTCGAAATGGACCATTTGCATTATAGACTGAATTTTGATCTGGACAAAAATTTCATCACAGCTTGAAAAAGCATCACAAAATTAGTAATATACCAAAGTTTCGTTGCGAAATGTTGTAAAATGCGGATAATATAGCCATGCGAAGTTTGCCGTTATTCAGTCATTTTGTATTACGCACAATCGGGTGTTGGGGCATCAATTTCCCGTTTGTAATACAAAATGACTGAAAATTGCAAATTTTGCAGGGCTATATTGTCCGCATTTTACAACATTTCGCAACGAAACTTTGGAATATTACTAATTTTGTGATGCTCTTTCAAGCTGTGATGAAATTTTTGTCTACTGTACATCAAAATTTAGTTTATAATGCAAATGGTCCATTGCCATGGACAAAACCTTCACCTATAGACAGGAATCAATTCCGGTGTCGCGCTCTAACCAACTGAGCTACAGAGACGAGTTATTCACAAACATTCGTTAAATGTTATATCACCTCAACTATTGAATTATGTACTATTGAAACATGGGTTATACTTTATACAGCTGGTACAAAACTATACACGCGTGATACGAAAAATTGCTTCAAACTCTTGCAAACTTCAGAGTGGTGATTTTAGTGGGTTGGTGATTTTAGTGGCCAAAAACTAGGTAGGATTGGGAAATCGGAAACCCAAGGGGTTTTATTGGCCTAACTAATATTTGACGTTGTTGCACAATGTTTCATCTGTTAAATATTTATTTTTCAGGAAATCCATCGCTTTCTACAACAGCGTCTCTGCACATCAACGTCGTGGACACGGATGACAACTGTCCTGTGTTCAACCCGAAGGAGTACAATGTAACCATCCAGGAAAACCGACCTCTTGACCTGACCATTGTTACTGTGCATGCGACGGATGTGGACACGGTTGGAGAGCAGAGCTTAGAGTATGGTATTCGAGAAGGAAATGACGATAATACCTTCAGAATAGAGCGCTACACAGGTTAGTTGGTTTGAAATTAAACTATAGTTGCTTGTGTGATGTTACTTTGAGTGCATATCCACACCGGGCAGGCTTGAAAAATATGCCTGGCCACGGTGGGATTCGAACCTACGACCTTTGGAATACTAGCCCAATGCTCTGCCAACTGAGCTACGCGGTCAGGTCGGTTCTGAGTACATTACACCAACACAGTAAACTATAGTTGTCTAAGCAGATATAGTATAATTAACAATTTTATTGTATCCAATTCCCTTGCAGTACTTCCTCTTCGCCCCTTGTTTTATCTGGTTGAAACAACTTTCTTTTAATGTCATAACATTTTAGGTGAGATTAAGTCTCGGAACTTTGTAGACCGTGAAACTGCAAGCGAAGTGAACTTGGTCGTGAGAGCTGGGAATGAATTATGTGGTGTTAACCTGACGGGCGACACTGGTGAGTTATATGTGTGTGTCTTATCGCAGGATTGTAGATTGTGCTGCATGAACTGAATGATTATGATTATTCATCTCACATCGGCTTTGTATTGTGGATTATACATGTACATGGCCGCGGAGAGAATTCCCGGGGCAAATCTTCTCTGGGAGCCCCATGACATCATTATTTTTAAGCTAGACCCAAGTCAGTCACCTAACTAAACCATAGCTAGACTGCATGTGGAGCCACTGTGAGGGGCCCTCAATTTCAAAAATGCTCTGACCAAAGAACCTACTTAATTTTTTGGGCTCTCGCTGTCAAGTTGGGGCCCTATTAAGGTGGGAACCCGGGGCAATTTGCCCTTGCCCCCCCCCCCCCTCTCGGCGGCCCTGGACCTCTAATTTTTATTTTGGCCATTCTCTAGACGAACTTATCGAGAAGAGATTATCAAAGTCTATCGCACGAGTTAACTTATTTGTAACGGATCTGAACGACAACCCTCCAAAGTTTCTGCAAGATTCTTACACACATCAACTGCTTGATATCTATGCTAACACTGTGCTGTGGTTGAATGCAACTGATCCCGACGTAGGAGTGAATGCCGAGTTCGATTTTGGATTGCATGGAGTAACTAGGGTAAGTGAGGGATTAAGTAGACGATAAAGCAGGGGTAACTGGGGTAAATGAGGGATTAAGTAGAAGACTAGATGGGGTAACTAGGGTAAGTGAGGGATTAAGTAGACGATAAAGCAGGGTAACAAGGGTAAATGAGGGATTAAGAGAAGACTAGATGGGGTAACTAGGGTAAGTGAGGGATTAAATAGACGATAAAGCAGGGTAACAAGGGTAAATGAGGGATTAAGTAGAAGACTAGATGGGAGTAACTAGGGTAAGTGGGGGATTAAGTAGAGTTTAGAGTAGGATTAACTAGGATAAGTGAGGCACAGGGATACAAAGGTAAGGAAATTGGTTTAATCGTTAATCGGCACCGCATTGATTCACATCCTTGAACGAACGGTTGCATGTTCAGCAAATTTGACTTTTGTGTTTTCTACAGGTTGGTGTTAAACGAACTTTGACAGTGACAGCAACGGATAAAGGGGTTCCACAACAGACTTCTAATACTACTGTTGAAGTAATAGGGTGAGTATAAAATAGATAATATTGTTGGTAGTAACATTGGCATAGTCTATGTGTTTTTCGTCTTGGTGTCCAGGGTTTGATTCTTGCAATATACAGTGGTCTGATTATAATTTCACCTTAGTCTCGTGTAAGAAGAGCGCTTCCAGTTTGACTCCACCAAACGCCGCTTGTTTCCCCCAGGTACTCCAGTTTCTTGCTGTAGTAACAGTGGAATAATACTGAGGTACCCCCCCCCCCCCCTTACTGGACCTCTAGTAACCACTGTTACAGAAAATAGATAAGGCTAACAACTGCTATTAAACTGTAAAGTAAAATTTGTATTGATGAACTTGCCTTTGTTTCTTTCTAGCGAAAACTGCGAGGCGATGACGTTCTCAGTTTCGCCCCGTGGTAATGTGTCGATGAAGACATTGTGCAGGTTTGACCGAACGTCGATAACCGGCAGTGATTTAGTTGGGGAAAAAATTACGGTAAGTGTTTTCTTTGGGTTGGTGGAACAATAATGTGTGCACGTGTTTTTCATCTCAGGGCCTGATCCCTGTAATTTACTACAACTCTGAAATTTCAGTTTAGTACAACTAATCGTCTTTCAAATATGTTGTAGCTCGACTGTCGTGCTATAGGCAACACCATACCTGAGTATCGTTGGACAAAATCTGGCGTCCACGTCACAGATTGGCAAAATACTGGTGTCTTTGAGATCAGATCTTTACGCAAAGATAACGCTGGTGTATACTCTTGTATTGCATCGAGTGAAGCAGGAAATATCGTGTCTAGATCTATCACGATTTATGCAAATGGTTAGTTATATAGTGAAAGGGATTGCAACTCAAGTAGAGTAGATGTGGTACCCCTTCCCCCCTGGCCAAGGGTAAGGGGGTTGAGCATCCCCACCCCTCTGAACATACCTTTTTCCACCTCACCAAAACTTAATCCTGAGGTTAATGCCTTCTGAATCCTGAGTCCTGAATCCTGAAATTAATCTTGAGGCTAAGGCCCCCAATACGTGCATCAAGAGATTCTGTTTCGGGTGGGTTGGACAGTGAACCACAGTGTGTGTGTGTGGTTGACACTAAAGTTTGTAATTGCATTGGTTGTATTAGCTGTCGGATTTTATATACTTGCGTTTAAATCTCAGCAAAACCGTAATCCTCTGTAACTATTTTTGCTTTCCCCCCAGAGCCTGCCAAGATTGCAGTTCCACCGAAAGAGATCCATGCTCAGATCGGACGAGCGGCCACGTTGAGTTGCCGAGCAACCGGAGACGAACCAATCACGTACTCGTGGTACAAAGATGATGAGAAACTGCTGTCAAATGCTGAAATTGATTACAACAAACCTGATATTGTTTTCAAAGAAATATTAAACACGGATACAGGAGGTTATTCGTGCGAAGTTAAGAATGCCTTTGGATCTCAGAAATCCAAGCCAGCCGTGCTACATGTGTATGGTAAGTTGAGAGCACCTCTGCATATAGCAACTGCAGGGGTCGAAATTTAACTTTTTTTGTACTATACAGCCGAAATAGTAGATTTTTATATTTACTATTCCGTCTGAAGATCCACTATTCCTTAACTAATTAATGTACTGTTTCTGATTTTCATGAAATCATCCTTGAGATTCCTAAAGTGAACTGAATAATTGAATAACAAAAAATAAACATGTACAGTCAGTGATGAACAAATTATTAATAAAAAACAAAGTTCAAACACTGAAAAACACTTTGTTGCGAAGTTTGCAGCATGAGCTCCACCTTTGAATTTACTATATGAGTAAATTCTTAAACACGTCCGAATTTATCATTATGAAAATTCGCGGCAAATTTTGAATTTATCATAATAATAAATTCGCGGCACCTAACACTAACCCTAACCACTAACCCCTAACCACTAACCCCTAACCCCTAACCCTAACTTTTTTAACTTTTTAGTTTTTTTTAACTTTTTTAACTTTTTAAAAATCTAACTTTTTAAACTTTTTTAAAAACTATTTTTTTAAAAAACTTGAAAAACTCACTAAAATATAGCCCTGCGAAATTTGCAAATTTTGTATTAATTTGTATTACGCGCGGGAAAATGTACCACAAATGGACCGAATATGGTGCATTTTCCCGTGCGTAATACAAATTAATACAAAATTTGCAAATTTCGTAAGGCTATATTTTCCTCATTTTACAACATTTCGCAACCAAACTTTGCAATTTTACTAATTTTAACATGCTCTTTCTAGCTGTGGTGATGGATTTTGTTCTTCTTGCCTAGATCAAAATTTAGGCTATAAGCTCGATTTACACCACACAACTTTTGCCTAAAACTGTCGCATGCAACCTGCTTACAACTTGAGTTATACTTCCAAGACTGAGACATTCTTTCTTATTTTTATAGCTGTATCGGCAGCAGGAATTTAAACAGCCAAAAGAAATGTGTAACATCACCGCGTGTTCGTCGGATCCTTGCCGTAACCAGGGCAAGTGTATCGTTAGAGGAGCCGGGTTTGTTTGTCAGTGTCCACGAGGATGGGGCGGCCTGTTTTGTGAACAGGATTCCAATGAATGTGAAACTTGCACCGGGAGTGTCTGTATTACGTCTAAAGGTAAGTCGTGTGATCTGAAACACGGAAATGTTTTGGGGTGAGATGTTTCAGAATTTAATCAAAAGCCCTTGAGGCCTACTCACGGATAAGATCAAATTGAAAGTGACAGAAAGAATTAGAGCAGTTTGCAGTTGTTTTTGCAAACGAGCACCGTGCGAATTTTGCCATTTGTCGTGCTTCTTTTGCCAAATCAAAAGAACGAACACGCATTCGCCCGATTTCCGGTTCTAAAAGGCCCGATTCGCAGGCAAACAGTGCGCGCAAAGCAGGCTGGTCATTTCCCATTGTTTAACTGTCCCACACTCAAGCCTGGTTCACATATGCCTGCGGTATGCCTGCGACTGTATCATTATGCCTCTACTTGCCGCCGAAATACCGGCAAAGTTGAACTCAAGACAACTTTCCCGGCCTACCGCCGATGTAACTGTGGCACTGGAGGGCAATCGGCGAACAAATATTCACATAATTTACGTTTTAAGCTACCACCGGCATCGTCGCCGGTACGTCGCAGGCACGTCGCAAGCATATATGTGAACCAGGCTTCAAGTAACCACAAAGACTGACTTGTTGCTTTGCAACATCCGTGAGTCAAACAGAAATTCAACGCCGACTAATTTGTGAACATTGTTCCCCCATTGTTCATCACCCATTGATCCGACTGCACTTATGCAAAGGGTTGTCGACTTACTCAGTCACATTGTGTTTCCATAGAAACCTGTCAAAACAATGGCACATGTGTGAACAGGCAAGGAAGTTTCTCGTGTGCATGTCCTCCAAACTCTAAAATCACCGGTAAACTGTGTCAGTTTACGGAGAAAGTTTGTACGGACAAATGCCAAAAGAACGAGACGTGCTACCCCAAGGAAAATCAATTGGGTTACGAGTGTATTGCCAATCCTTTGACCGTGTCCATGGAGTATCCGTTGGATACCAGTCAAAGACCATTTCAAGATTGGATGAAATATGATATTGCTCAAAATGTTGAGAATGCTATTGTTACCAGTGGTCTTAATGAGGTTGGTTTCTGCATTTGTTTGTTTGTTTGTTTGTTTGTTTGTTTGTTTGTTTGTTTGTTTGTTTGTTTGTTTGTTTGTTTGTTTGTTTGTTTGTTTGTTTGTTTGTTTGTTTGTTTGTTTGTTTGTTTGTTTGTTTGTTTGGGTTGGGTTGGGTTGGTTTGGTTTGGGTTGGGTTGGGTTGGGTTGGGTTGGG